GTGACGGAGGTTCCTGCTCCTGTCGGCTCGGAGGGACTTAACAGGTCTGTGTTTGAAATGTTGAACTCTCTTTTCAGAAGGTCAGCTGAGGGGCTAGGACTGTTTCATATCAACTACAAATCACAAATAACCATCCTGCTATGTTAAAGAAATGAAACATGTAACTTTTCTACAAGTGACAACCTCTGAAGTTGAAAAATGTAGCCAATGCAAACTGGAGCATCAATGTGCCCAAAACAGCAGGGAAACAAGAAGACTGCTAGATTGACTATAAATACTAAAGGACGTGAAAAATCCCTTAAAGAAGCAAACAGAGCAGATAATCCGTCTTTATAAGAACAACTCCTTCACATAGAGAAGCTACTTTATGGGAAACATTTGAAAACACTTGCATTAGATTTAAGACTTAACACTTGCAGTATAGTTCTTTAAAATCCCCCCCCCCCCATCCATCTGACCAGGCAAACATGACACTCACCCCCTGTTGACAGCCTCAAAGCAAATACTGCTATTAATACTGCAGCATTTGGGTCGAGAATACCACAGTCATGCCAATTCAAAGGTATGTGTGAGGGCTCATAACAGTTTGTCTCATTACGTTAAGAGGAGGATACTCTGATGAGGATGTGACACACTGTTAAACGTTCCTTAATAACCCGTCAGAATGGCTGTCAGCAGGTTTGATTGTTTCAGAGATCATAAAAAAATACACGTGCAGTCTCCTCGTGCGGTCATTTAATCTGTGATGAGGCCGTGCTGCAGGGAGCTAACGTGTTTCAGGTGTATTTATAAGACATACTCCTGTCTGACTCTTAATCCGCTGTGAGCTTTTATTTTAGGAAGTGGTAAATATACATGCGGCCTTATCGCTTTCCCAGCAGGCCGCATGCAGGATGAGGTGTAGTCCAGTTTTTTGCTCTGATGGAGGTGACTCAGGCTGAGCGCTGACCTGCTGTGTGCCTCCATGAAGAAGAGAGATGACCTCGAAACACCCTGATCCCCTTCTCAGTTTACCCTCAACATCCCCCGACCACAAATAAGTGGATCCCCTTCACTGTAGTCACCTTATGTCAGAGAAACACTGGATAACTTAAAGGAAGATACTTGAACAGTCAGGATAACCGCAAATATAAGCCAGTGTGTCTTCATGCTACCAGTATCAGATAAGTAATACTAACTGTCAGTGTGAACAAAAAGTCTTAAATTACTGTAAAACATGGGGAATAATAAGACTTACGAATACATACACACAGGCTGAGAACCTAACAATTTGAGTTCTAGTCAACGAATGATCTAAGTCTCTGAGCCACCAGTAACAATTCACTGCTTCAGTCTTAAAAGTTCTTGTTCTCAGTGTCAGGAAGTGACTTAAGTCTATATGCTTCTTTTACGCGTTAATAACACAAGTCCTCCAGGGTCCGGTAATTGGGACATAAGTTATTTTGTCTGTCACTCTTAAACTCGAGTCATTTCTTACCCCAAAACAGAGAGTGATTCAAGTCATTATAATCAGAATCAGTGAGAGACTTAAATCTTTGAATTCCTTCTACCAGTTACTAACTTAAGTCTTTGATCTCAGTTTCAATTAATGACTTAAGTCTACACGTTCCTGTTAGTAACTAACTTAAGTGTGTTTTGCACGAGATGGTGACTGAAGTCCTCATTTTCCAGCATCAGAAAGTGACTGAAACCTTTAAGTCTTTTCTCAGTATCTGTCCGTGACCTAAGTCCTCTGGTTTCCTGTATCAGTTCCTGACCTAAATCCTGTTTTTTCAGAACGGTTTCCAGTATCAGTTGGGTGACTCCAGCCTTCCTTTTCCCCATATCAGATAGAGGCTTGATGTTTCTGGTGTCAAATTCTGACTGTCACATTTATCTTTTTATCCTCCTCTCGCTCATGTTTCCTTTCCTTCTCTCTTGCAGGTTGTGGGGATTTGATATCAGTTGGTGAGCCCGTCACTCACAGGAAGGCCGACAACATTGAAGGTAAATATGGAGTTTGGATGCAGGATCCTGAGGCCGTCTCCCCTTATGGACCCAACATGATCTGGCGTATTGACACGGTCGGCTCCGATATCAGGAAGCTGTTTGGATATGACGACATGGTGCAACTCAGTAAAGGCTTCCCATCCAAGGTGGGTGTCACACGCCTGGTATTCTTGGGACCAGATTTTTTTTTTAATGTATTTAGGAATCCAAAGCGTTTTGGTTCTGTTAGAGTAGTGTAGTTCACAAGAGTTTCAGCAGGGGTCTGCTTTATAAAAACAGTCTATGTCCAGAGCTAAAGGGAAGACACCCAATAAGATGTAATGAAATCTGATACGGACTGTTTAAAACGTGGATGTAGTCTCAGACGCCACCTGGTTTCTAATGAGGAGTAATGAAGCCGAACAGTGGTGGTTGTTGGAAAAGCTGTTTCTAACTAACTTTGGATCAATCTAGAAACAGGTAAAGAAGTGGAGCTGAGGTGGGGTTTAAATCTCCATCAACTCAGCCACGCCCCTTTTAGGTATATTTATGCAAAACACTTAATTAGAGTTAGATTACCTGCCTGGTCCTGGCCCAACCCGCGGCCCGAATCCGAGCCTCCAACTCCACCATTGTCGACTTGCTCGTCAGACTGGCAAGCCTCTGAAAGTCATATTTTGCTAACTGTTGGAAAAGTTTCCAGAGGATAAACAGTTGTCAGACAATATCCAGTGAGTTCAGAGATTGAATATTTGGTTGGATGTTATTGTTTTGTCACTCACCGCTGTTGTCTGATGTTTTTTCGATGACAGGTGCTGCTGTTGCCGGAGCAGGTGGAGAGCACCGGATCCACTATGTACCGAGGCTCTCTCTACTATCAGAGACGTCGTAGCCGCACTCTCATCCGTTACGACCTGGCCTCCGAGAGCACAGCGGCACGGCGGGACCTCCCCCACGCCGGCTTCCATGGCCAGTTCCCTTACTCCTGGGGGGGCTACACAGACATTGACCTGTCTGTAGATGAGCAGGGGTTATGGGCTGTCTACTCCACCAACAAAGCCAAAGGAGCCATTGTGATCTCACAGCTGGACCCCCACAGTCTGGAGGTGAAGAGGAGCTGGGAGACCCAAATCAGGAAGAACTCGGTGGCCAACTCCTTCATTATCTGTGGAAAGCTGTACACGGTGGCAAGCTACACGGCGGCCAACACCATGATCAACTACATGTACGACACGGAAACCAGCCAGGGGAAGCCTGTGTCCATCCCCTTGAAGAACAAATACCACTACAACAGCATGATCGACTACAACCGGGCTCAGAGGAAACTCTTCGCCTGGGACAACTTCCACATAGTGTCCTATGACATCAGGCTCAGCCGCCAGCAGGTGAACTAAACGCGGCCATACGGGGCTGATGGCGGGAAGTGGTATGCGCTCACTTGTTCCTGCTTCAGAGACTCAGAGCTTTAGAGCATGTGTGGTAGAAGTTTAAAGCTAACACCATCAGTATCAACACTTAGAAGAGCGAGGACTGAACCACCAAACTCCAGAGTGAAATAAAGACGTTTAAGGAACAGCGCCCCCTGCAGGTCTGCTTTTCTGTCTTCAGTGGCGAGGTCCACAGAGATGATTTTCAGAGGAATTATTTTTGTACCGCCTTTATTCAGATGTATGATTTTGTTCTGTTGTTAAAGCTATATATATATATATATATATATATATATATATATTTTTTTTTTTTGAAGTCTGAAAGTTGGAGCATGGTCTGATTTGATAAGCTATAGGTGGGATAAGCATGAATACAGTTTAGAACACAAACTCCTGAGGTATGACACACATGCTTTGTTTCACCAGCAAGCATCTCCTGTTTAATTAAATACTCTTACTCAGCATGTACTGAGTCCTGCATGTTCTTACACTGTAGTCAAGATCAAAATGTAATGTTCAAAACTGTCATTTAATAAAGTTAAATAACAACAATTGTGTATGCTTTTTATGGTATCATATATCAGATAAGTACTGGTACCACTGTATGAAGAGTTTGAGTTATCTAGGACATAAAGCGGAAAATTAGAAAAGTAAATTCTGGAGTGAATCTGAAGAAATCTCTGTATGCAGCTTTCAAGTGACAAAGAAAACCAATACTGGATGGTCATTATGTTCAGGCCTGCAGGCAGCCCTGCCTTAAAAAACCTCATGATTCTGTAGTGGACATCATTATAAAGATGGTACCCAACCTTCTTTCTTTGGAACCCCCCTACTTGTTTCTGTGAAAAACCAATACTAATCACTTTGTAGTTAATAATAGCAATCACCTCAACTTTAATACAATTGCACTGAGACAACCTCCAGTTTTTAAAGTCTTTAAATGACATCAGAGTTTAGTTGGTATAATCTGTTGTCTTTCCACTGGACTGTTTTTTTTGGATCTTAAAGAGTCCTTTAAAAAAAATGCTCATCCTGCTTTCATCAATGGCTGAAGAGTCCACATGAAGTTTTGTTCAGTTGATTCTTCATCAGGTCAGATCAACACTACCACATTAAGTTAGATGAAATGTGTGCAGGCAAGTTGTTTAGTTGAAGTAAAGACGCTAATGCCACCTCTTGTGTATAAATGATTAATTCATCATTAAAATATATGATTTTATAAGTAAGGGGTAATGTACAGTGAGCTGCTGTTATCACAGCGTGTAACCCTGAAAGGATGAGCAGGACCCCCGACCAGGAGTGGAGGGGTCCAGCTCATCCCGAACACAAAATAAAGTTTACTAAAGGAGGACAAATTCAACCAAAACCTGGCAACACAAGAATTGTTAATTTAAGTTATTTAATGGATTCATGTGAGCAGTATGAATAAATGTATTAACCCATTAATACTCAATGAACCTAAACCTAACTTATTTAAATGGGGTCCTCATGTATGGAATAACTAATAACAAAGTTAAGTGTTGCACTGCCACCTTCTGGCAGGAAAAGATTCTTACATTTTGATTATTTTGCACAAAAAGAGTAATGTGAGGTAAAACACTGAAGCATGTCAACAGTATATTATTTTTTATTAGTTTCTGTAACCAAACCGAGAGAATGTAAATAAGACCGTACATATTTTAATACAGCGATGAAACCCCTGTACAAGTTCAACAAAAACAAAACAAGAAAAAATCATTCCCCTCCCTCCCTCATCCATCCTCCACAGCAGGGACTCTCCCACAGGTTACAGGTGAGGAGGACCCCACCCACCCCACCACCACCTCTGGGTTCATACTACTGTACATATCTGAAGGACCCCGTCACCACAATCCCAGATGAAAGCGCTGTGGGCGGGCGGGTGAGCCAGCGGAGGTGAGGCAGAGACAGGAAACAGCACTGATCGCTTTTGTCAGTAAACACAACCAAACATCACGTGTCCTCCTGCCCCAACGCATCAAACATCAGGCTCCTCCTCTTTTCATCTCTCTCCATCCCTGTGTCTTGTCCTCAATCGCCCTCTCGTGAGGGTGGACAGACACATGCTCAAAGATTTCTAATGTTTCAACACTCAGCTCCTCTATTTAGCCCTATCCTGCTAACGGCTAGCTAAGGGCACTGATCAGACAATAGCAGCAGGTCTGGGTGCTTTACAGTGAAGTGTGTGTGAGTGTGTGTGACAGACAGCAAGGGTGGTGTGTAAGCAGTGACAGGGTGAGTGACAGCTGTGTGTAGTGATCATACATCATCAATGTAATCCTTTATCCCCATTCAACACTCTGCTGCCATGGAAACAGCATCCTACAGGGCTGTGACATCATCCCTGTGCTGCTTTAACCTTTGGCTAAATATACAGGAGCTACAAACACACACCCCCACCCCACACACACACAAACACACACACACACACACATCAGTACTTTTCAGGCAGGAGATGAGAGCAGAAGGCAGGAGCAAAGGCTCACAGGCAGACTAATCAAAAATCAATCATTTAAGTCAATTAACTGCTGCAATTTTCACATTTCCATTCCGATACAACAGAAATAAAACCGAAAAAAAAAAAAAAAAAAAAAAAAGCGAGGACAGTTTGTGATTTCATGTCTCTGTGAGGACAATGTGCATCAAACCCTTGAGTGAGTGGGGAGACGCACAAACCTCTGGATTAGTTATGATGGAGAACATAAAGTGACGCCTCTTTAACAGGATTGTTCTGACTACAAAAACAAACTGATTGGTTCTTCCTCTAACATGAGATCCTATCTGAGAAATAAAACAAAGAAATCAAGAGCTAGAAAAATGGCAAACTCAGCAGCAAATCTCTTCATTCTCTCCTCCAGCTCTCTGATCTACCCTCTGTAGATTTATATCAACAGCCTCTTTAAACGATGGAAGAATCCAACTGAAAGGTCCCCACCTGCAGGGGGATGAGGGAGAGGGGACAAAGACCCCATCTGCAGGGGGACAAGGGGGGAGTAGGAGTAAGAAGATGACAGTGTCTACTGTCAGTAATCACCCTCCTCCCCCACTCTGCCCCCCATCTCAGGGGCTGATATGAGGTGGGTGCAGAGTGACGGGGCCTGACCCTCTCTCCTCTCTTCCATCCGTGCACAGGTCGTCTGAAGAGGGGGGGGGGGGGGCTGCTCTCTACTTGCCCTCTTCTGGTTTGATGGCCTGTGGTTTTATGGGGCCGGTCCGTATGGGTTTGGCTGCAGAGACGGGAGGTTTGTCAGAATCCGGGCGATCTCCTCCTGCCTGGTGGTTTGGGGCTGGGATGTCAAGGGGGGGTTTCCCGCCCTGATCCAGCCGGGACACTTTGCTGACCTGGGGGGCTTTGAGCTGCTGCTGCTGCTGCTCCGAGAAGAACTTATGAGTGGACTGCAGCACCTCGGCCCGCTGCTTCGCCTGCAGAGAGGAAACAAACATTAAGTCGTTTTGTACAAATGTTGGTATTTTTACTTTTTGTCTCGTCATTTCTTGGAGCATCTTCTAATGTTTAATAACCCTTAATGTCCAGACAACCCAACATCTGGACAGCCCTAGCTAAAAGCTGTGTTTGCGTCATCAGAATCTTTTGCATTTTATATTGATTCTGCCTATATCGGTCTCCTGCTCTTCATTTTCATTCAGTCCCCACCTGCAGTCTTTGCTGGGAGCTCTAAAGTTCTGTGACCAATTCACAAAAACTTCCTAAACACAGCAACATGTTATTTTCCAGTTAATTAAACGCAAATTCTGAATTAAATAATTTTATCTCAACCACACAGAAAAATGTGTTCTCGTTTCCATGTTGTTAGTTAATCAGTAGATTCTGTTCTGAGTATTACAAAGTCAGTTAACAGCCCTGATTGAAAATGTGACAAACACAAAATTCGTTCACATCAGGTTTTGCTCAACAAAATAATTCTGAAAACACTTGAAACTACATTTCAAGTAGTTTTTATAAATTCTTATTTAACTGAAAAGGAAGCAAAAATGATGTGATAGTTGCTCCTCAAAGCAGTACAGTTGTCACGTGGTATTTATATTTGTCTCTTTCTTCAATCGTTAAGTGCTCCTTAGCACTTCAGCAAATCTGTCTCAAGTTTATGCAGGTTACAGTTTGTTCTATCTATTGTGCTTTTCTTTGGATCATTATAAAAAGGATTAAGAAATCACAACCACATCGTGGACATCACCTGCTTATTTTGACAATTTTACACAGAATGTAACACAATCTAAAACCATAGAACAGGATTTAGTCTACTTCAGCGTCTTTTGCACTACTCACCACTGCACGGTTTCTTATTTAGTCTTGTACATATTAGTCTTTGCTTATTGTGTTTATTGTTGATATTTAATGTTATACTTGTACATACGAGAGCACAGTTCACCGAAGTTAAATTCCTTGTGAGTGTAAGCATCAATTTCAACAGGATCATATGAAAAACAATGACGATGCAGCCAATACAAGTCGTAACAAAGCTGCATGCAAAATAATGGAATCTGACTTTGATAGTTTGTATTTCAGATTAATATTTTTTATTAGATTATTTTTGGTCCTTTATCGCTTTATTATGATCGAACAGTGTATGGAGTAGTACATTAAAGAGAGAAACAGAGTGAAGAATCACAGTTGAATCTCATTAACATCTGTACCTGAGGGGGTTAACTAACTGCTGGGCCAGTCAGGGCCCCTGTGTTTAAGATTGATTTTAACCGCACTTTGTAAAATCAGTGAACCACCCTTTATTGATATAAGATGTTTAAAATGTAAAATCAGACCTTCAGGTCCTGTTCCGCCTTCATAGCCGCCTGTGTGCCTCGGGGTACAAGGGGGGGACCAGGAGGTCCTCGTTGGGCGTGCTGGCTGTGCTGCAGGTGCTGCGGGTGCTGCGGGTGCTGCGGGTGCTGTTGGTGCTGCAGATGTTGTTGGTGCTGCGGATGTTGTTGGTGCTGCGGATGTTGTTGGTGCTGCGGGTGCTGTTGGTGCTGTGGGAGCTGGGGTCGAGGGTGGGGCATGAGACCGCCACCCACATTAGCTGACATGGGAGGGCCCATGGGCGAGCGCTGCACACCTCCAGCAAAAGAGTTAGCGTGAGGAGATCGAACAAGCGGAGACACGATGTTGGGCTGAGACAGAATCTGAAACAAACAGGTCACAGTTAGTCTTCATGCTTACAACCAATCAGTGCTTAATGCAAACACAATCTATTACAGGTTTATGTGATCAGCATGCCACCTGTGGGTTGAACTGGCCGGGGAAGTGCTGCGTCATCCTCATGCCTGCAGAGCTGGGCTGAAACTGCTTCTGGTACATTATACTGTTCATCTTACTGGACTGACTACTGGGAGATGTGGAGCTCGCCCTGCAAACACAAGAGAGAGTAAAAAAAAATTAGATATATTTAAAGGTTTTTATACACAGAAACATCGAGTGGTTAAAATACAACAACAGGAACAAAATACCATGAAAACGGTTACAAGCACACACTAACACAGGGACAAAGAAAGACAATGACTACCAGACAGCAGCTTACTGGATATATCATAAAGATACATTCCGAGTTCTCTTTCAAAACAATCCACTGAGTCAGCAGCAGATTTCCGTTATGGCTAAAAACAGCATCAACAAAGGATTTTTAACGGCTAACTTATGGGATAGTAAAAGGAGCAGCTGTGGAGGATCACAGGGTTCATGGAGGATCATAAAAAGATGCGAAGTCAGTGATACAAAACCAGGAAAAACCTTTTGTCTAAAAATAAAAACACTTTCAAAACAATTCTTTGATAATCACAAGAATCTAGAAAGGAAACAAGATTTTTTCAAAGACACAGGAGTGTTTTCTCCAAACTGCTCACTTTGTGACTTAAACCCCTTTGGAACACTTCTTTATATCCCATGGGAAAGTTTGCTTGTGTATAAAACATTTTTTGGGTGTAGAAATCATGGTACGACAGGGTCCACATGGGACCTATGAAACGTGCGTATCTGGCTGATCACAGCGTACGCAAGACCGGGTGTTGCGGCTGGAAACAATTGTCATTTAAATACCACGCCCCTATTTATTCACGGTTTAGCTGTCCTCGCCCCCAGAGTTTACGGCATGGAGATACTTAATACGGCAAAGAAGAGAAACGAGCTATGACCTGAGTGACACCATAACAGAGAAAAGTAAAGAGGAATATTATTGTGTTGTCTGGCAGCCTGAAATGTAGGATTAAAGAGCTTCAGAAGAAATGCGCCTGCATGGAAATCTCAGAGTTGGTGTGGATAACCGAACTCAATCGAGTTTTTAATATTTAATTTAACATCCGTGATATGTAACGTAGATAATATAGGCTATAATATATATATTTTTTTATACTTCTAGTTTAAAAAACCTGGTCAGACCATACGATCGCTACAATGTAGCACCAGAAGCAAAAGAAGCAACACCCGGACCGGAGGACGCCAGCTGTACCCCACCTGAAATTATCCCAGGTTGTGGAGCGAGTGGCTTCCTTCATCGGTTCAGCCTCAATATCAGGCCCGAATGGTGCAGGCGAACCTGCATCTGTGTCAGATTACGTCGGCTGCACTGGCAGCTCGCCATTTACGAGACTTTAAAAGAGAAGAGAAACCTGAAACGTCCTGCATCAAACGCTGTGCAATGTGCACTTCTCATCCGATTAGCCTTCTTTCCAAACATAAGAATTTAACACTTACATACAAGAAGGTCCTGACTCCATCTTACAGCCCCCAGATTTCTTTATTCGTTATTATGTCACATGAAGTCTCTGGTTTAAGTGCTTCTGCTGTGCGCAATTACGCATGTGGCACATCAGTGTATTAATTATTTTAATCTCCGGACATACCGAATAATTATGATCTAATGTTGATGTTCTTAATTCCTAAATATTTCATATTTCAGAGGCTAAAAGTTGTATTTGGTATTAACTGTATTTCAGTATTTTCTGCAGTGATATTCCTGTGCAGATGAAGTATTTACTGAAAGCAGCCTCTCTAATCTTTAAAGTAAATCGATTAAACAAACAAAATTAATCAAATAAAACACAACTAAAGAAATCACCTGACAGCCCACGCTGCTCCACATTATTTAAAAAGCAATGTAGCCTACAGAGATCGTTTGAGCTGAAGCGTAATATAAAATACATTTTAGATATCTTATCTAACAGTAAATCTGTGAACCTCTATTGATCCGTCTTAACAAGCACTGTTATAGCATGATCTAATTATTCTCCGACACAGAAAGATTCGCAGCACTGCAAGTCCACACTGAGTTGAAAATGTGCGTACACAAACTGAGACCTGGCATGAGATTTGAGCGTACCGAGCGACGTGCTCACGTCTAAATTGGTAAGTGCCAAACTTTGCGTGGAAATGACCGTACACCCATTTTTCTGCCGTACGTACGTTTGATAAGTGAGGGCCAGTGTGTTTATGGGTAAAATAGTGTCCCTCTGGTTGTACCTGTAGGGGCTGGAGGTGGGGGTGGTGCTCCTGGCGCTGACAGGAGGAGTTCCAGGTTTCACATCCATCCCACTGCCAAACAGCTTCAGGTCCATGTCCAGCTGAAGTGAAATGAAACAACAAACAAGAGTTTACTTAAATGATAACAAAAATCTGTCTGAGGATCACATCTGCACAATGCAGTACCTTGTTGGTGGGGGGCTGCATCATGCTGTGGTTATGGCCCATGATGCCTCTGTACTGTTGGGAGATGGGAAGGCTGCCGGTTGATGTTGGGGGGCTGAGCCTGTGGAGGAGTGGGGGGCAGAGCCAGGAGGGGCTGACCTCCACCTGAGCCAAAGTTTGGCAGAGAGAGCTGAGAGCTGGGCAGAGGGACGGTCACCTGAGACAGGTAAACACACACTTAGGAAACAGACTGAGAAACGAATCACTGATACATTTTATTATTGATCAGCAGAACAGTGAGCAGAGATTTTATTCCATAAACTGAAATTGAAAAATATCCATTAGTTTGATGACTAAAAACATTAACTCTTCATCAAGTTTGTGCTTGTTTAAGATTTTAGTTTTGTTTGAACATTACCTGTTGCATGGCAGAGCTTTGCGACTGAGTGTTGCTATAGTAACTACTCTGACCATGTTGCTGCACCTGTCCAGAGTACAGATTCGAGTGCTGGTTCATGCTTTGTCGAGCCTGAAACAGACAATAATGACATAAATGTAAAATAAAATAAGAAAAAAAAGGTATTAAATACGTTAAAAAAATAAGACACTAGTGTAATAATGATGCTGTGAGCGGCCTGGTTACCTGCAACAGGTGTGTGTCGATGAGCTGGGAGCCCCCCATGCCTGACGGCTGGTTGAGCTGCGGTTCGAACAGGATAGGGATGTGCTGGGTGGAGGAGGGCTGCTGATAGGCCAGGTTTGACTGAGGCTTGCCGAGCTCGGCTGCCTGCACACCGGGGTAACTGTGCAGCGACGGTCCTGACAGCATCATGGAGGGCTGAGACAGGCTGCTCTGCATGAAGGCCTGCTGGGACCTGAAGGGGAAGATGGGGGGGGTGTAGGGTTAGGACAGAACGAAGGGAACCTATCACTGCAGAGACCTGTGCAGGTGTGCGTTACCTGTACGGCTGTAGAGAGGAGCTGAACAGGTCCTGGGGCTGAGAGACTGGAGGACCTGTGCTGAGTCCCAGCTGAGCCTGGTGTGTGTGTTGGTGTTGGTGTTGGTGTTGGTGTTGGTGCTGGTGCTGGTGCTGACCCTGCAGGGGGGCGTAGATAGGGATGGGGATCTGCTGCACCGCTGTCGGCTGCACAAGTGGAGAAACACAGGCATGTGGTGTTACCTTTAATGTTAAAAAACTAACTCCTACAGTGTGTTAATTCAGATTTATACTTCTGCCTCGAATCTACGCCATAGTGGCCCTTGGGTTGTGTGCACTACATTCTTGTGCCTTGGTGTGTGCATAGCTCTGCAATACCCGTCTACAAACGCTAGGGGGCAGTGCGATTTATACTACTAATATCAACAGTTTCTGGCTACACAAACCTACAGTGTTGATTTGTCACAGAGGTATGAAACATGCTTGGGTGAGTAATAGGTGATCTCACCTGTGAGAGTCCGGGCTGGAAGCCCTGCTGCTGGGCCAAAGAGGGCGGAGCCAGGCGGGGGTGGGGAGTGCTGAAGAGGTGACTTGTGTCCATGTAGAAGGCTGGAATCTGAGCTGCAGAACCTGCACAGAAAAATGTAATATTACCATGTACAATATTTTATTGATCCATCAAGGTTACATAAAAACTTGATTTGACACTATGTTTCACTCATTAAAAATAAATCACGTAACTCACGTTAAGGATCCGTTATTTTGTTTGCTATTAAAGTGAATTTGATGTTATAGAAGGATTTTATGGCCAACTGAGATTTTATTCTCTGTAACTGTGTTCATTATGAAGAACATATTCAAATGAATTGGGTAATTACAATAGAGCCAAAAAAAAGAACACAAGCCAATTCTGAATACATTTTTTTTCTTTGATTTAAAGAAATAGCGGCTCAAGTGTAAATGTAAAAAAAAAAAAAGTCCACAAATAAAACTTTTTTTGTTACCTATAAAGCCCTTCACAGCTCAGGAAAGAAACATAGAAAAGCTGTTTGTAAATCAGTGGCAATAGATTTTAAATATGTAAGAACAGACTTATAAACTGTGCCCACAGTTTGCTTCATAAACTGGAATCTGTTTTGAAGTGAAAATGTCATTTTGACACATAACTGAACTTAAAGGTGCTGCCTTTGTCTCACCTGCTGCAGACTGAGAAACGTAAACCTGGGGGGTCTGCTGCTGGGGCAGGAGGGGAGGCACACAGCCAAGTTGAGAGAAGCTACTGCCGGAGGAAGACAGACCTCCACCCTGCAGCTGCTGAGGCTTCACCTTACAGATGTTAGGGGGGTCAGATGCGGTGGTGGTCTTCGTGCTGAGGGAGGATGTTGTGTACGTACCAGAACCTGCTGAAAAACATGAGAAAACAGAATATAACACACGCCTGGATATCAAGAGCTAAATATTATTAGTTAAAGTTTGTTTATAGGAGCAATAAGTAAGATATGAAATGATTGATGATATAGGTCAGGTTATTTAATTATTTCATTCTGTAGATCTATCATCTGACATTAAGGAAACATGCTATGTTGAAGATCTGTTTTCTCCAACAACAGCCAGTATGACACCAAGTTTAGATTCTGGTCTGCAATGGTCTGTATTTGTTTTGACCAAAGAAGATAGGTGGGTTTAGGGCACCCCCACAGGGCCAGTTTGGATGCCCCTCGGTTTGCGAGATGAGACCAGTTGTCACGGCAAACCAACAGGTGTTGCAATGATGGAAGCAGGCAAGCGAACTGATTCAGATAACTGATTCTATCAGACCTAAGAAGCCTCTGCATTTTTCTAATAAGCTCCACGACAAGTAGTGTGGTAAAACTACAATAATTATTTAAGATGCTTTTGAAAATTGGAGAGAGGTTAGAACGCAGAAAGGTTTCAAGACGGATGCAGATCTGGTTAAACACTGGAGCTTCAGTGTCTGCAACATGGCAACCTGGGGAGACAGCTCACTCCATTTTTTTCAATTTGTACTGCAGTACTAATTTCATTGCTTCATGTCAGGGTTACATATTATAGTATACATGCATATTTTAAGTTTTCTACAAATAACACAGCTATTTCAGGTTAATGTTACCTGACAGGGAGGTGCTTGGGGTGACAGAAGCAACAGGTATCTGAGGCATGGAGGCGGAGGAGAACGTGGAGTATGACGATGCACAGGAGGTAATGGGGGAAGAGGAGGAGGTGACTGGAGAGTTCTTCTCCAGACTGGGGGAGTTCTCCCACGCTTTCCGAGCGGATTCCATCTGAGGAGCAGGGGGCGAGAGACACAAGAGGTTAGTTAATGTTTCACTAAACCTCCAGAGAAGTGTTTGAGAGAGAAAGTAGACCCAAGTACCTTCAGTGTTAGGTCGACTGTCGCAGGAGAGACGGTGCTGAGGCTGGAGCTCTGCTGCAGCGTCTCTCTCCGAGGGAGGGGCAGCGAGTGGGGCAAAGCCACCTGATCACACAAAAAAATCAAAGCAAGTTTGGAATGATGCTAACTGTGTGCACTGTGCAGACACATAATCTCTGCATATGAAAGAAATGCGCACTCACATTTGCCACCAAACTCTCCTCCATTTTGTTCCCTACTGTGGGAACGCTGTCAGCCAGCGAGGAGGAGGGGGCCGTGTAGTCTGTGACCAATTCCTGAGAGGAACCAAAAATTCAGAATTTAAGCACAAACAAGACGCATTAGTATTTGTTATCAGGGCTCCAGAATAAACAAAATTAAGATGCATTTTAAACAAATAATCACATGTGAGTAAAATGATTTACAGTTAGGAAAGTATTTTCTTTGACCCACAGGATGATGATTCACATAACCCTCTATACAAAGTCAGTTTGGCTCCATGAGTATAACTGTTGAGGTCTGATGATAAAAATTAAAGCAACTATAAAACCCAAAAAATAGGAATTTGTAGAAAAATGTGGATGCATTTACTGTAAATCTTCAAGGACCATCCCCCTTTTGAACATGCTAACTCATAAGTTTCCATTTTAAACAGTACAGCTTATAACTGGGTCTATTTTAAACTGCACTGCTGTGTTTTGTCTTTTTCAGGTCAAACTTGTTAACGTAGAGAAATACAGAACTTTCATCAGACTAACTGCTTTAGGGTCTGTGTCCATTAACAACAACTTTTCTTTTTGCTGTCAGCCCCCACAACCTCAAATTCAGAGCATGTCTCACAATCGCTTATTGCTACTAGGTTACAAAATTTAGCTCCCCTCTATGGTGACCCTAAGGTCTGTTTTTTTAAAGCTTTGTGTACTTATTATTTTCCTTTAGTCAAGGAAATATCACCAAGAAAACATGAAAACAAGGTAAATGAATCGTGTTCTTACATCAGCAGCAGATCTACGCCTAAAACTGTTCCCACAAAAGATGACAGATGAATTTCTTCTCCGCTACAGTTGATGACTAGGCTGATATCAGAAGTACTACCCCTTCTTAATTTTGGAGTGTGTTCAATTTGATGAACTCAGAGACACTTAAGTAACCCGAGCTTAAAATCCAAGATGGCTGCTCTCTGCGTCAACAGTTTGTTCAGCTCAGACTAACAATCATTAAAAGATGATGAAAACAAAGTAAAATAAATAAAATGAGTAAAAACAACAAGGATGTGAGGTTTAATGTGACTTGTTTCTACCTTGGAGTTACTGTTGTACTCTGCTGAGGGCACTGTGATCATGCCCTCGATGTCTCCACCCAGCTCAGGTACTGTGGTGTCACTGCTGGGAGGACTGGAGTCTGTGGCTCTGCTGACACCTCCTCCTGGGACTACTCCCTCCATCCCCTCTCCTTCTCCTCCTTTGGCCTTACGGTTCTTCAGAGAGCGTTCCTTCCCGATCGGACCGGGCTTGTACTCCTTGGTTTCTACTGGTTCTATTTCAGGAAGCTGAGGAGGAAGATTTTAAACATTTAGATCTGAGCTTTAAAACAGGAGTAAGTGTTGTTCACTTTCCTCCACACCATCTATACCTTCTGAGTTTTGATTGGTCCAGCTCGAGGTTGTTTCTGTCTCTGTTCTTTGGGAGCAGGTAGCATGTTTTCAGAGCTGCTCTCTAGCAGCGCAGGAACACCATCACTGTCGGTGCTGCCTGCAGATGACGGCGCTCCAAACTGAATACTGTCTATGGCCAGATCCACAGCACTGCCCTCTGAGCCAGGCTTCACACCCTAAAAACACAAAAAAACAGGTTATTCTAAGAAACGAATCTTAGGAGAGGGCAACAATATTAATTTTCCTCAAACATTTCTTTGCACAAATATATTCCCAGTGTGCACAAGTTTGCCTGCCATTTGCATTAACTTACAACAAGAAATTATCCAACACTGGGTGTTTATAACTTTTAGTTTTGTTGCTGTGGTATCAAAACAGCTATCAATAACAATTGATTATTTTGAGTATCATATCTGACTTTAAAAGTCTGGTGTTGTGACAACCCCAGTAAACAGTTTAAATTATGACAGATCCTTTAATAACAGTACATTTTGTTTTACACATTATTCAGATGGAAATTGAGATTGTGGATGTGAACATACCTCAGAGGAGACTGTGCCGGTGAAGGAGGTAAGAGGTTTGTTCCAGGCGCTCACTGTTGGAGGCTGAGGAGGGCTGATCGGACCGACTGGAACATACACACAACAAATTAATAACAACAAAGGATAATTTGAGGAGTTATTAAAAAATAAACATTACATCACTGCTCATGTTTAGTTACAGAAAAACAACAAAAAACTAACCAAAGGTCTCGGGGCATTTTTACATTGAAAACAAAAGACACAAAACCATAGCTTCCCACTTCTAATAAACACCACTGGTCATACATCAGTTTCATATTTTAACTCATAGTCTGGGAGAGTACAGATATTGTACAGATATTGTAAAAAAATCTATGCATATACATATATATATATATATATATATATATATATATATATATTAAAGACTCTACATAACAGCAGGATTCACAAGTAAAATTTAAGAAATTTTTAAAAACCATGAATTTGTCCACTCACGTTTTTTTACGTCGGGTAGCACAGCAGCACCGGTCACCTTGTTCTCCCACAGTTCTGTACCCAAGGTGTTGTGCGTGGGCGTGGGGGCAGGAGGCAGGCTCTTGGATGTGAAGTCCACAGTAGGAGGGGGGATGGAGGGTAGAGGAGCCATGGCTGCCTCCAGAGCCTGGGGGGCTGCAGCTGGCTGGACGGGGGCCAGGTGAGGATGCTGGGGAACAGAGATGGGGGGCTGCTGTGGGGCCTGGGGGGTGGAGGTGACAGGAGGCTGGGACTGGGCGGCCTGTTGCTGTTGTTGCTGCTGCATTTGTTGCTGCTGCTGTTGCTGTTGTTGTTGTTGCTGCTGCTGCTGCTGCTGCTGCTGCTGCTGCTGCGACGACTGCTTTTTGGCAAATCTTGGGGGCAGCTTTCCTCCTCCTCCTCTGCTCTTTTCACCCGAACCTTTCTTACTCCAGTTCTGTAGGAAAAACATGGGTATCAGAGACTATGTTAACTGCATGAAATAGTGACTCAGGTCTGATTTTTTTAACAAAGTCTAAGCAAGACAGGTGACTATGATATATGATTTGGCAAAGATTATAGTTGTAAAATCTAGGGTGTAAGATGTACTTTTTATACCAATTTTTTCATCTGAAAAGATGTTTGTGTCCTATAAAACAACGTGAGCAATATACCAGTATAAAAAGACATGCCCCATCATGACCACAAGTGAAGCCTCATAGTCAACGTTGCACGCGGTCTGACGCAAAGTCATGGTTTGACTAAAAAGACTCCTAAATTAATAACAACAAGTGACCAGAGGACGTGGGCAGAGGTAATTCACAACTATGAACGTTACTGTAGGCTGAGAGCTCTGCTAGGGTACAGGTAGCAAGCAGGATTACAAACTCCACATGGTAAAAATAGATGGTACTTAAGAGCTACACAGCTGCACATTAACTGACCGTTGGGGACTTTGATAAACAAAAAATAAATCATCACTCAGGGAGACAATTTAAAAACATTTAAACTTCAGAGAGTCCCCTGAAAACAGACAGACTTATCTCCAGGTGCGATTTATATTCCAGATTTGAGAGTACTTGTGGCAACACTTTTGTAAACACTTAACTTGAGGGTTCGTATTGTAAACGACCTGTGTTTGAAAGCGTATCAAAAGAAAAATATTAACATGACCACAGGAGGAAACGTTTTCCTAATCCTAGCAAAAGGTTCTATTATGCTGCATGAGATGCCTTATTTTATTTTGCATGCAGTGTAGTCCTGGGCTGTGACCAATTCACACAAGTCTGATACAGTAATGTCAACATCCCCCATCCAAAAAAAATGGATCAGAGCAATTCATTTGAATGAAGCATTTCGGCTTGTAGTGTGATTGTAGTCAGAGAGGGTAAGTGATGCTTTACTACACGGGACAAACTTTCTCTCCACTCACCTGAGGGGTCTGCTCCTCTTTTTTCCGCTTCTCTTCATCCTGAAGCCGTTTCTGCTGCTTCCGTGAGACGACCTCCGTGAAGCCATCGTCGTTGGTGTTGGACTGCAGGTCCTCCGTAGTGGTGACCTCTGGGTGGTCGTCAATAATTACAACACCTACAGACACAGGTCAAATAGACAGTTTAATTCATTCTCCAGGTATGTGGGTCATCATTACAAGACAGAGTGTAGGTGTGTTTACTTACTGGCATAGTTATTGAGATCAAACTGAGAGAGAGCGTTCTCTTTGGGCTTCTTGGCGGCTTGTTTGGCGTCATCTTTGCGGCGAGCAGGCTGATCTTTAGCAGATCTCTGAGATGCTCCTCCAGCTGCTGATTGTGTCGCCTCTGAGTTCTGCTGGGCTGGAGGGCTGTTTAATTCAAGGACACGTTAGAGACAGACAGGTGTGAATTGATTGATTACATTTATTCTATTTACATGTCATGAGACTGCCCAACCCGTATGGGTTTACAAGATACCAGAAACACAGCTGCATCGGTCCCACAATTTAATTCAATCACCCATTTCACAAGTCATGATAAAGGTGCATGTTCCTTCAGTTGCTCTCTCATAAACATAGCATTGTGAATTTTCTACCAGGATTTATAGATCAAATCTGCTTCAAAAAGGGTGCCCTTTAAGCACAAGTCAAGTTTGAGATCAGTAAATTTAGCTGTTTTCATATATGTATTCCCGAAAACGTCAGGTAAACGTTGCAGAAGTGGCCAATGCAGCAACAGAGTCCGCTATACGACGCCTTAATGACTTTAGCTATATCAATGTGATTATAGTTCTTTAATCTAAATATCAACTAAAGAGCAGAGAGGAACATACTGCTGCGTCTTCACATCAGCTCACTCAGACTTCATGCAGAAATTCTATTAAAGGGGCTGGCAGGAGGAACTCCAGATGTCTGAGAAAAATTCAGCTGTTGGCGTTCACACATGCTGCTCACCCCTGAAAACGTCAGGAGTTTAGCACAAATGGGAAAGCAGCTTTTGAGTAAAATACTGATTTTTTCAGTGTGAATGTGTGGAAAAAAACAGCAGTGTAGATGTAATTTCTAAAGTAGGGGTCTCCTGGTAATACTCGTCTTATGCTGATACAGTTTATTACATTCTGAAAATGGAGCACCAACATTTGACTGAAATATGTGGATTGTGTAATACACTGAGTCAATAAAACAACAGGTGTACCGACTGAATAAAGCTGCAGAGTTATTCTGCTGCACACTGTTCATTGAGTCAGCTTCATTGTTAGAGTGTTAATGTAAGCAGACAAATAAAAGCCTGAAAATGAGAGACAAAGCCAGGATTGTTCACACTCACCCTTTGCGGCCAGCTTTGGCCCCTCCCCTCCTCTCCCCCTTGCCCCCAGTGTAGCTCCGGCCTGGTTTGGATCCACTGTTTCCTCTCCTGTTCGGCCTCTCCGTCGGCCTCTGGCTGGAGAAACTCCTCTTTGATGCAGGAGCTCCTTCACGTTTAAGAATCATCCCTCCATCAGGAGGGCTTTTGTTTGGGGTCAGAGAGCCTTGGGGAGGTGCAGGTGGTGGTGCAGAGGCAGTGGCTGCTTCTTTATTAGCCTCCTGTGCTCCCTTCCTTTCCTCTCGCTCTCTCCTCTCGTTGAAGTCACTGCTCTCTGAGGCTGTCTCCCACTCCTCGTTGGCCTGGTCTGAAGAGTTCTGGTTGGACAGGTCTGGGGACTTGGTACCGACAGCAGTGATTGGGGGACTGCTGGATTCTGGCAGGGGGGCTTCTGTAGGAGAGGGAAGGTCGGGGGCAGGCACAGAGGCTGTCCCCTCCGCAGGCACAGTTACAGGGGTCCCTGGAGCTCTAGACAGGGTGGGGGAGAGAGACACCTGGTTGGGGGCGGAGCTTTGGAGGGTAGCAGAAGGCACTGGGAGCAGAGGGACGGGGGGACTTGGAGCCATCTCCCCGCTCGCTAACACTGCAGCCTCCCGCTCTTTCAATCGTCTGAATCGAGGGGGTTTGTCTTGTCTTGGGGGCCTTGCTGGTCTGGATCGACGAGGCCTTTCTCTACTACTCTGAGGAGCCCCATCCCCAAATTTCTTTCCATCAGGTTTGGGGGGCCGTCGGTCAGCGGGGTGATTGTCATATCTGGGTGTGGACTCTGCGTCCTCAGGTCTGAATGTCTCCATGGGTTTAGAAGGCCACTGGGAGGAGGACTCTCTGGGGGGCCGTCTGAGAGGAGCAGAGCGGGGGCCGCCGCGCTCCCTCGCACCTCCTCGTCTGCTGTATAGACCCCCTCTTCCTCGCCGAGAGGGCTCTCCTTTAGGGAGGAACCCTGGCTTAGGCCTGCTGTCATCGTCCCCTCTCATTCCACTCTTCTCCCCTATATGAGGAGGTCCAAAGCCTGGTTTGTGGGGCCCAGAGCGGGCCTCCCCAGGCAGCTCTCTCCTCAGAGGACGGCTGGGTTTGGTGCTGGGCTCCCGGTCTGAGGGTCCTGTATCACTGGCAGACTCCCTCCCACCTTCACTCTCAGAGTCTGTGTCTGAGCCCCGCCTCCGCCTGCGTTTAGGAATAACCTCAAAGTCTGAGCTCTCACTACGCGTCTCGCTCTCCTCCCTGTTTCTAAAGGCTGCAGCGCCCCCTACAGACGGTAGATCAGAGCGAGATCGGGGCTCCCTGTAGGGGTACTCAGCCCGGCTTCGCCCACGACTCCCCCGGCCTCGACCACTGTAAGTCCCCCTGTAACTCCGCCCTCTGGAGTAATACTCCCCTCGACCGCGTCCTTTGAAATTCGAGTCTCCTGGCCACTCTCTGTCTCTGTCCTTGTCCATTTCCTTATCCCTCTCTCGGTCTCGGTCTCGGTCCCTCTCTCTCTCCCTCTCCCTCTCGTCTCGCCTGTAACCTCGAGGAGGAAGGTTGGACTCTTTCCTTAAGGGCAGTTTGGGCTCCTGATGTTTGTCATTACTGGGTAGTTTGTCTGTTTTTTCCTCCTGAGAGGAAGAGGTGGGAGCTCCAGATGAAGGCTGAGAGTCACGTGTTCTCTGATGTCCACTTGTTGTTTCCTCGGCTTCTGTAGCCTCTCTCTTGCCCTCCCCTTGAGGTCTGGAGCCCTCCGACAGAACAGCAGCTGCAGAAGGAGCTTTGGCTGACTGATCCTTCTTGGATCGGTCTCCTCTCTCGCCTCTTTCATGGCGTTTTTCCCTCTCCTCTCTTTGCTCCCTCTCTTCCTTCATGTCCCTTAGGACAGGTTTCTTTATGGGCCCAGACCTGCGGACAGGCCTCTCTCCTCCAGGTCCTTCTCGGCGCCCTGCCCCTGATCGCCCCCCCCAGCGCAGCTCAGCTTTCTGCTTGTTGGGTGCTGGCAGAGGCAGCTTCTCTTGTTTGTGTAATCCATCAGCAGGAGGTGTAGCCCTGCTGCTGCTCACAGCAGCCTGGGGGTAGAGTTCAGTCTGGGGCTTATCATCAGCCCGCTCTGTGTCCTGGAGCTCAATTGTTTTTGTACCCAGGGGGAGGCCTTCAAACCGGGGCTCATCCAGCTTAATGGAGTGGCTGGAGCCCTGAGAGACGGTCCTCTGGAGCATCGCCTGTCCCAGAGCCTCCACCTCCTCCCCGCTGGGGAGGCCGGGCTCCTCAAGGTCAAAGGCTGAGCTGACAGGGACCCTGTCCAGAGGCCCTGACCCGCTCTCTGGGCCTTGAGTAAAGGCTGACAGGGACTCTGAAGGGTCCTGGAAGAAGTTACTTTTATGAGCGTCCAATGTACTGTGGTCCTGGTTATACATTGAAAGGAGCCCCCTGTCCAGATCCAGACCTGAATCCATCCTGTACAGAAACAAATAATTTGTGATGAGGAGAATAATAGAAGCTTTTCACTTAATACATTGATTTATGTTTTTTATTTTTTTACCTGGGCTCCTTGTTATCGTCCCGTCCTTTGGGAGGAGTCACAGACGGTAGCGGTTCAGACTGAGGGTAAGGATCTGATCCCCACAACATCCGAGAGTCTGGGGACAGGCCGTGGTCTCGAATTGGTCTGGTCAGGTGATCGAAGGAGTCCGAGCTGGAGCTGGAGTTTTCACCAGGCTCTCTGCGCACGATCTGCTTTGGAGGCATCCTCCCTGCAGGAATCAACAGAGCGACTTTAAAGGCTTTATATGCGATTTTTCACACTTAAATGTAATAGAAATCAAGTATATCCTTTAAAGCCTAGTAGCCAAGTAAAGCCTTTAAAACAAAAAGCTCCAGAAAGAGTGAGTTCATTCAATCATAATCACTATTTCTATCCTTCCTGAACTCCTACCTTGATGGATGTTGGTCGGCATGTCCAGGGGGGGGCGTCCCGACATCATGCGGGGGTCCATGTAAGACTGCATCATGAGCCAGCGGGGGTCGAACCCCATGGAGGCCAGATGCTGGTGGTGGGGGCCAATGGGCTGGTACATGGAGCGGTGCTGCTGCTGGGAGGCTGGAACTCCTCCACCCCCTGATGGGGACATGGAGCCCCCACCCTGCTGCTGCTGCCACTGCTGCTGCTTCATCTGCTCCTAGAAGAAAAAATACATTTAAGATTTACAATCAATCAAGCGAAACATTTTAAAGAAACTATTAAATTATTTATTTTATTCTACATTACTAGAAGTTGTTTCAGTCAGTGACTCTGCCCTCATTCTGCTCAGCTCTTATGTCACACACGCACACCACATGCACGAGCAGAAGAACTTCTCTGTGTTCAGTGACTCTTTTCTAGCATACTTTAAATATTTTATTTATCAGTCCTATGTTCCCCGGCCTGGAGGAATTAATATCGTTAGATCTGTACTTTTTACTTTATCATGACAACACTATTATAAGCATTACTTCGTTTTACAGCTTAATAACATCCCTATCAAATATATTTTGTTGCAAAAAAAAGAAAAGAGAAAGGTTTAAGATGTGTCAATTTAATACATTTCTCTGATATGTGATAATGCCATAGTGCCAGGTTAAAGTGTAAGGTTTGGCATTTGATGCAGCGCTAGGAGACTTAATAAATTAAAAACAACTATTGGTTTCTTCTTTTCTAAGACCAAAAGAAAACCCACACAGCGACAGAAGAAGGACAAGGGTCTGATGGGAGTGCACACTTTGTCTCCTACTGTGCTGACATGTTTAATCTATTTGAAAAACATCTTTGTAGGAGGTCTGGAGGTCTCACCCAGAACATCTTTAGCAACAGAAATGTCTTTCCCTCAATATGATCAATATAATTGGTTTTCCAGCATAAACTGCAGCATGACAGAATAAACACATTAGCTCGGTTCTACGATCTCCCTGCTTTGGCAGATCGTCAGCACGTTAAAATCTTCACGATCTAAGATCGTTATATCGCCCACCACTAGTGCAAGACACTCGTTATTCTGTATCTGTACAGTATGATTTGACTACGGAATATATATGAGAGAGAGAAAGGGCGAGACAGTTGCTGATACGCTGCACAGACTTAACAGAGTTTTGGGCCAGTTGAGCCCGTTTACTCATTTATTAAGTATTCAGCCTGTCGTTATGTATCCTGTAGACCAGGGGTGCCCAAACAGTCGATCGCGATCGACAGATAGATCGCTGACTGATTCTCAGTCGATCGCGAGATGTTTAGTCAATATAAAATACAATTGTAAAATAGAAAAGTGATTTCAATTTCATCTCATTGCACTGTTTCCCACACACGATACCTGTGTTGGGAGCCCAAGTATACTTCCGACCTGTTTGTATTTAATTTTTCATTTATTCATGAAATTGCTGCGTGCATGAGAGAGCGAGCGAGAGAGCGAGCGGGGGAGCGAGAGAGAGAGCGTGCGCGCAAGAGAGAGAGTGCAGGCATGCGCAATGACGTGCAGGTAAAACCGGGAGGGTAAATGTTTTACAAAAAAGTCATATATAGAAACTATGCTACGAGTATTAAGCGCATTTGATGAAGCTGCAGCTACTTTTCTCTGCTCCTCTCTGCTGTCATGACTGTGAGCATCGCGGGGCACACCAACATACAGCGCAAACGCACACACACACACACACTTGCACTGGAGCGCCAGCCACCACGCGAACCTTTTTACTTTTAGTGCTACAGCACACAGATGATCCGTGATCTTTACGGACCGAGGTGGGAACACACGTGACCCGGTCAAACGGTCGGTTGGACTTTACTCCGTTCACTCTCAGTGTCTGCAGCTAATTTAACAAAAGCAACATCATCTCACAGCAGCCTGCTGTAGTCTGTGAACATCTCCACACAGATTAAAGTTGTTTGTTGTAAACAAAATTAAGGGGAAAAACACATGTGATATAAATACAAACGTAATATTAAAATGTAGCCTACCCTAAAATAAGAGTTTTTAAAAAAAGTATGTCGATATTTTTACAGAACTCTCATTTATTATATCTGATATTATTTTCTGTTTGTTGTTTGAGTATTAAATGCGTTTGTAGGCTGTCGGTAAAGGCTATGGCTCACTATGTGGACTGGTAGATCTCGGCAGACTGGCAACTTTAAAAGTAGATCTTGGTTCAAAAAAGGTTGGGCACCCCTGCTGTAGACCAATCGTTCTGTACAGGTTTTAAAAAACTAACTGTCATGATTATAACGGTTGCTGCCATGACAGTGCTGTATTTCAGCTGTGCGTGTAGTGTTGGCTGCGCTGCTGCTGGCATGCACACTGCTCTGTGGAGTGAAACATATGTCTCTGTCGCTGATTTTCACTGCGTTGTTGTTAAGAAAACAATAAAAATAAGTAAAAGTCACAATCAAAATCATTTTGCAGGCCATACGCTAGGCCTATTTGCGAAGTGAGAGCTCAGATGAGATGTTTCCTCATTTCACACATATTTTTGGCCAGATTTGACAGATTGCATCGTCTAAATCCGCTGGTTCTCCTTTTTCATTTGACTGAAAGCCAAGATGTTAACAAAGGGGCGAAGTTATATTTGGTCAAGATACCAGTGCAGCTGCTTGTGTGTCCTTCTGAACATTATGTTGGGTGAGGTGACTTAACGTGAGATTATGGTGGTTGCCACCGTTCACCGCGGTGATCTTGTTTTTTTTTTTTTTACTGCAGTTATCCATTTTTGCGGTTATCGCGACAGCCCCAGTCTTTTTGTTTAAAGTTTGGAAACAATCTAGCTAGTCACACCCAACTTTATGACTAAACCATGAACATTTCAGCCAAAGTGGCTCAATCAACCAAATGAGGAGATTCTTACCTGCTGTCTGAGGAAACGAGGAGGCAGAGACTTTTGAAACTGTTTGGAATATCCTGAAGTGAGAGAAGGACGCATGGCTATTGCAGCTTCTCCTTCTAGCTGTGGAGGAGCCACAGGGACGTCCTCTCCACCAGGGGGGTCCATGTGAGGCAGAGAGAGGTGGGGCTCCTCAACTGCAGAAAAACAAACCAACAGGAGTGTTATTAATTAAACCTCATCAGTCATTGAGAAACATCACTCTGATACTCTGATCCAGCTAACCTCTGCTGTCCTTCATGTTGAAATAATCTCCGATAGGCACTGTAGTCCGCTCAGCCTGGTTCTCCTCCACCAGGGGGTCCACCTCAACCAGAGAGCCCTCACCCTCACTCTGAGGCTCTGGAGCGGTGGTCACTTGTCTGTGGATAGGGGGGCTGGGCTGAGGAGGCAGGTGGACCTCCTCCTGAACACTGGGTTCTTCTATCTCTCGCTCCACCCTCTCACTCTCTTGCTCTGCCCCCTCAGGCAGAGGAGCCGGCATGATGGAGGTCTGTGATTGTGAAGTTGGGATTGAAGGTCCAGGGCTGGATGCCAGATCAGGAGCAGGTGAGACAGTCTCCTCACTTGCAGCTCCTCCGTCATCAGAGGCGATCTGGGCAGGGGCAGGTTTACCCTCAGCCGACTGTTTGTGTTTTTCATTGAGACGCTTAAGTTTTTCAGCACAAGCAGCGAGTCGCTGTTCTTCCATTCGTCGCTCCTCCTCCTCTCTCCTCCTTCTTGCTCGCTCCACAGCTTCAGAAACCTCCACAGGCTTCTTTCGTTTCTGTCGCCAAGCCTCTGGGTCCTCATCAGCAGCAGGGGCCGCTGCAGCCGCCTGTGGTTTACTGACACGAGGCGCTCCGCCTCCAACAGGACGAGTGCCAGGCTGGAGAAAAGATTCATTAGCACACCTTTCACAACCTTATTGTAAAATTAAAAAGTGAAAATATGATGTGACATTTTTGAAATGTTTTACCTGTGGAGCAGCTGACTTGTACTGCCCGATATTGCCTGGTGATGGCGCTCTGGGATCTACATTGTCCATCCAGGAGGATTTACCACCCCCAAGGTCCTCAGAGCCCTCCTTCCAGACCTCCTGACTGTCTGGTGGACGAGATCTCATACGATCCACTTTACTCATCCACTCCCTGAAAATAAAGTCATTTAATTCAATGAAAACCCCAAAATTTATTAGAACTTATAACTTACTCAGGGAGAAGCCAAATACTCTCACTTCCACATCAAGCAGTAACAATCGCAAATATTATCACAAATAATGCCACCTGACGAAATCTGACTTGGTCATTGTAAGTGATTTTATTTTATTAACATTGTAAACACCAGTGTTCCCCGCACATCCGAAACTAAGACAGGCTGCCCAGGTTTATTTTCCTTAGAGAGGGAGCTGACCAAACATTCCTCCTGAATACATTGATTGACGTGCGTTGTCTTATTAAAACTAAAGCATTAGTTAAGCAAACTAAACATTTTTCTGCAGCTGCTTGCTGTGTATGCTATCCAGCATTCATAGTGTAAGGTGACCGTTGTGACATCATCAATAAGCACGGCTCCCCTGATGTAATAACAGAATATCCTGAGTAATGGTAACTAAGCGTCTCTGACGTACCACTGTGTGTTAGAAAGGAGAGGTGCAGGTGTGTGTTAGTGTGTGTGGATAAGAGAAGAGAAGTAAATTGCGCAGATTAAATTTGTTTGTTACACAAAAAAGGACAAATAGAGAATAAAGCTAAATTAATATAGCTATATACCAGAGATTGGGAATCAAGTGCAACTGGAGTCCAAGTCTCAAACTCCAGTCGCATACAAATGTGACTTGAGACCTGACTTGGACTCACTCCTCAAAGACTTCAGACTCGACTCAGACTTGAGGTTTGTGCCTCATGCACAATCTTGTTTTATTGTATTTCTGGCATCATTAAGAGCTGACACTGTATGTCTGTTCATTTGTGCACGATATGAAAATCTGTTTTAGAGACAGAAGGCCACTCTTCAGAATAATCATCATGTAGTGTCTTGTGTTGTTGATTAAGGCAAATCTAAGAAAAATATTATAAACTTATACACAGTCAGAATAAATAATTTAAATACAATAAGTCAAACTATCTCAAGTTCTTTAAAAAGTTCAGGACATAGGGAATTTGTGCAAAGTAGCATACTAATCTAAAAAATGAACTCATGCTCCGTAAATCAATAAAAATGAAATAATTTATACCAATAAAGACTTCTGGGATTTATATTCAGTGAAGCAGAGATGACTGCAGGACAATGACAGTAAAAATTAGATTCTCACCAGTTTTCTCTTTTCTCTTTATTAGCTTGGTTCTCCTCATCGTCACTAAAGTTCAGTTTCTCGGTGTAGTCCACCTCCATCTGAGCTCCTGTTTACAGAAAAGAAAAGGAAGATAACTGTGAAGTCAGCTGATTGATTAAACACCAATGTCCATGAGGTAAAGTACAGACACTCACCTGCCCAGCCCTCATCAGTGTCAGTGTCCAAGTTGTCGAGCTCTTTCAGTTCATTGGCGCTGACGATGGAGGGTCTGTCCGGGTCCTGAAGCCACGACTGAGGCGGGGCCTGCTGAGGTCGAGCTGCGCGAGGACCCCTGAACACCAGACAGGGAGACAAGGATGAGAAAATCCACTATGAGAGCTAACAAATTTACACCCTGCTCTACATTACTTTACACAAACCTGAAACCTGAACTGAATATTCATGACGTTTTTGTGTCATCTGCCACGTTTGTGTACAAAGCTAAAAACACTAGATTTCCTTCAGGTTGATGCATGTTTCAGACATTTTATGCTCTTTGATGAGGAAAATGTAACTAATTCTCTCTTTTATACCAGCTGGTAGGTTCTCAGATTCTTTTATTATTTCAATGACCATAAATGGTATGAAGACAAGGAGCAGTGGGAGTTCATTTTGTTTAAGATGGCCTGTAAAAGAAAAAATTATAACTTGAGAATTTACAGAAGTTTCACTTTCTTCTGAGGTCAAAACAGAGATTGTGTTTATTAATAATAAGGAAGAATTCAAAGTTTGTTACTTTGAGCAGTGATAAAACAAAGTATGGTTAATTATTTGTCAGCTTTAACAGCCGAATCATGTGATAGGCCTTAAGGATGGGAACTTACTTGGCTCCATCTTGTGGTACAGGGTATCGGAGGTTTCCTTGCCCCTGGCTAAAAGTCATCTGAGGATACGCATGAAACATCTGCAGCAAAAACAGAAATCATCGTCAACAGGCTGAAGAAGAGACTAACAACACAAATTGACACTCTGTGATATGTGACTTACGTAGGGTGGCATCATGCTCCTGAAAGCTGGGTCAAAGTGAGTGGGCACCCCCACAGGAGGCTGCTGCCCCCCGTTCAGTTTGGGCTGAGGGGGTCCTGAGGAGGGGGGCAGCCTCTCCCTGCCCTCAGTCTTCTCCCTTTGACTGTCAGCTGTTAAAGCCCGCCCTGACTCATCAGCCTCCGCCGGTGGTGTCGAGGTACCCGGACCAGTACTGCCCTCCTCTGCAGCCTTGCCGTCCATCTCAGGGCTGGGTGCAGTGATTAAATTCCTGCCTCCACCCTCACGCCAACTGCCAACATCTTGATGAAACAGAAATGTATTTTAGACTTCACATCATCAGGTAGACAAAAGGAATCAGTGAGCACTTAGATGTTTGTGTTCCAGATGGTGTCCTTACTTTGAGGTCGGAGGCTGGGTCCTGGTCCATAGGGCTCCTCGTCCTGACCGTCACTTTTCTCCGCCTCGCCAGCTGCCTGCAGGCTGGGAAACTCCTGGTGAAAATGGCTGCTCACACGAGGAGCTCCTGTACAGAACAACCAATAACCACAAGATCAAAAAAATACAGTTGAAAGCAGTCCATAAATGATCACAACTTCTTCATGCCACATTCTCTGAATCTTTTAGAGTGTGCCAGCCTTGAGGAAATGTGTAAAACTGTGCAGGAAGTAAGGAAGGATAACCTCTAAACTTTGGTTTAAGAGGTTTTAAGTGGAGCCGAATTATCAGCAGAGGTCTCCTCCTTTAAACAGATTCAGTAATTAAAACCAGTAAAAACACATTTATTTTATTCTCACAGGAATTCACTTCATTTTTTTGTTTGTAGTAAGAGTTACAATGAGAGGCAGTGTGGATGACAGGAGTGATACATGTTATACGAGTCATAGTAATACAGAGTGTGGAGTGTTTTTACCGTCCAGCTGTGTCTGCTTGCTGTTGGCCCAGGATCGGCTCACCCCAACAGTCGGCTCCTGAGTCTGGAGCACCACTGGTTTGATCTGGGGTGGGGGAGTCTCCTGTTGCCTGTGGATCCCAAAACCGGTCAGTTTACAACATTCATATCCTAAAATGGTTGACAAACTCCTCTTACTAGTATCTCAAATAATTTATGTTATTCTGCTAAGCGTGCATCTTCATTTAGACAGAAGCTACAGTTGGTCAGGTTGTTTCTGCAGAAGTTTTTTTTAACTTACCTCTCGTCCCCGGCTTCAGGTCGAGATGCCCAGCCACTACCGTCTTTGGGGACAATGTTGACGTTCGGGTCGTTTCCCTTGTTCTCGGCTTTCAGGCTGGGCAGGTTGGCTGGAGGGGGCATGCGCCTGCTGACAGCAACTTTGCCCAAACTCTGGAGCCCATGTCTGGCAGCCACTGGGATGAAGTAATCAGCAGGTCAGTGATTTAAAAAAAGTCATAATGCCAAAGCCCACTCACTATATTTATCACAGTGTGCAGGGCTAATGGTGGTTAACAGTAGGGGGCTCACCTGCAGTTTTCTGGGTTTCCAGAGATTTGCCCTTGTAGGTGTTGAAGAGGCTAAGGGTTGCATACTTTGTTTTGCCATCCTTTGCCTTGGTGCTCTGCCCTGACTTCTCGGACATTTCGCTGGAAACTCATTGAGTCTGGTCCTTTGGCCTCGCCTCCAGAACCAGCCTCCTTCAGACAGACAGGAAGAAAAGAACATTTAAAAAGGCACAAAGTTACCAGCATTGTCCTCTTCTGGGTTTACGGGCTTCTTCTGTTTTCATATCTAGTTCTTTCACAGACCACAGTTCTGGGGTAAAGATCCTTTGGTAGAAACGGGGCTTAACCGTAATGTCTAAAGCTGGCATAAAGCTGTCCTGAATCTGATCTTGTAAAAAAAAAAAAAAAAAAAGTAAATCATGGTCAAAGAATAACAAACAACAGTGTGGAGATACTTATTTTAAAGCAAGCAGAATGTCAGTAATCAGTTTTGTTACCCAGATATAATGTCTACTCTTCTCACAGCACTAGTATCAGAGAGACAATCATTGTAGGCTCAAAGTAATGTACCATTAACTTCTGCAGCAAGCCTGAAGAGAACACATACCGTTAAGTCAATAGTTAAATGCAGGACTTAAAACCAGCATATTGCTTTTTTACTAATGGTCCCTAATTTTAAAGGATGGAGACTGAGTGTGAACAGTGATTCTAGAAAAAATGAACACACTATATGTCCACAAGCAAACAGGCAAACAGAGCAGGAGTCAAACACATGGACACAGAACTCAGAAGTACAAGGTGAGTTTGAGTAAGCAGCACCAAGGACAGAAAGAGAGCATGTTCAGGCTGCAGTGTCGCTCCTAAGTCAAAGAGAGGGCATTTATTATTAACGGAGCAATGCTGGAACAGTGTCTGAGTGTGTGTGTGTGTGTGTGTGTGCTGGGGAGCTGACAGCTCTGATGAGCTCTGTCTCCATCTGCAGGGTTGGAACACTTTGTGAAGGAACAGGCACTTAAAAGAAAAGTAAGTTTGTTTGAAAACAGCCTGGTTCTGAATATGTAAAATTAGGTCAAAGTTCTGACCCGGGACAAAAAACACTGGCTGATTTTAATGTTCTTTTTATGAGAAGAGGGAAATAATCAGTATCAACTTTAATGTCAGTCAAGCTTAGTAATAATAAAAATTAAAAAAAAACAGTAAATGGACTTGAACTTATATAGCACTTGGATTGAGGGTGTATGTGTTTAGAAAACTGGATGGTTAAATGTTTGCACCCTCACTAGTTGGCAGAAGAATTACAAATTGGTTAAACAAATTATTAATATTTTTACATGATGCTGTAGCCATATAGTGCATTCGCACATGCACAAACTCCTGAGAAAGTCCAGAAGTTTTGTGTATGAACACAAACAGACACATTTTTCACTCAGACTTTATCAAGAGTTTTTCCTTCCAGCCCTGTTGTATGTAAAAAGTCTGAGTGAGCTGATGTGAGAAAGCAGCAGGATATATTCAGGAGAATTCACCTTAAGCGAGTAGGGGTGGCAGGGCTCGACATTATAACAGTTAAAATACTGCCTGAAAAAAAGAAGAAGACAGTAACACCTTCTCAATTTTCACAGCGCTTTCCTGTCATAGCGGTGTTTTGTCAGTAATTATTTTCTAAACGTCGCGCTAATAACTGCAACAGCATCAATGTTGACATCAAGGCAGTTGCATGGCACAGTTGAAAGGTAGCCGACAGCTTCACTGCTGAGTCCCGTGAGCGCGCTCGCTTCTCTTGAATTGTACACTCGCACACAGATTTTAGCGCAGGTATTCTCTGATAAAAAACATGTTTGGTAAAACGGTTTTAAAACCATCAGATCCCAACAAAAGCTGAGCTTAAATCAGCATTCAAAGGAAGAAAATCACCGGAAGAGTCGAGAGTGACAGCAGGGCATGATGGAAACAGAAGGGAGAAAAGTTTCAGCCACAGTGACAGACAGCTGGAGGAGCTGGAACACGATGCAGCTAAATTTCCCCTTAAAGTTAAATACTAGTTCCTGGTAAATATGAAAGTTATTCACAAAGCATTTTAGCTCTTAATAGGTCATATTATGCCCTTTTTGGGGGTTTGTATATTTAACCTATGTACATACTAAAGTATGGTCACAATAGCTCAAGTTTGAAAAGTGTCTGTTTTCATGTACTGCCACTTGATGCACCGGCTCGCTTCTGACTCTCTCTCTAAGGCTCTGAAGTCTGATCTGATTGGTCGGCCTGTCGGCTCTGCCGTAATTGGTCAGTCACTCAGCACGGTTCTCGTAAATGTCACGCCCCTTCTACCATATTGGGAATGCAGCCACTTTGGCTCCGAGAGGAGCAAAAACATTAGCACCTTAGCACTACTGTGCTACCGCAGGCTACGGCATATCCTGGGCGTGCTACTGAAGTTAATATGGGCGTGCAACATGAGCTGCTGGGCTTGCCACAACGAGCCAATGGGTTTAGATCAGTGATATCACACTGACAAGACGTCACACTGGCAAAAAAAATTCGAGGGGGGCTAGAACCGAGCGTTACATGCAGCTAACAGGAGGAGATAGGAGAAGCCGCATTTTCGTGGACTTTGAATTTTTGCACATAGATGTGCCTAAACATGCACAGGACACTTGGAAAACACACTAAAGAGCATATAAAACCAGAAAAAGCATAATATGACCCCTTTAAGAGAGCTCCTAAAGTAAAGATCTAAGGATGAAGAGTTTCTCACAGAGAAGAAAGAAGGAGAAAAAGGTGATCATAACAATTCCAGCTCTATCACAGCCTCATATTAAGATCAGTCAGATATACAGTTACCAGCATGGTGAATAAACATGAACACATAAATATAAGAAAAATACAAAATATTTGATATAATTAGAGCTCAATTAAAAAAATAAAAGGAGTAATTCACTCGAGTGAATTGGTGACTGTTATTTTTAGGATAAAAAGTAACGTTCCTGGGCCAGTGGTTACAATGGTCAGTGATCTTTGAAAACTAGTGGCCACTGGCACCACTGGCAAATTTGACTTAATGTCAACCCCTGGGGGTGGTGACATTTATTCCTTGAAATCAGTGCACAACCATAGATATAGTCAGCATCAAGGGGGATGCACAGAAAACATCACATCCGTTTTGCACTGAGGGGGAAAGGATTTTTTTCCCCAATGGGACGCCCCAACTCTGACACAACCCCTTCCCGTTCTTCTCAGCTCTTATGTTGATATTGTGATTCTGTTGGGCTACATTTAGCATTGATATAAAAACAAATGTCGTCGTTATAGCGTTGTATAGCAGACCTAATAGATTTGTTGTCTTTGTGCTTTTATCATAAACCCTGCTGCTCTTGGACAGTGAGATGACAAATATGATGTAAAGCTAAAAATTTTAACTTTTAAACATTTATTATTGAAGTTATGTGTATCAAATAATGACACCCTGCCTAGCAGGCACAGTTCAGCCTGAATGTATACTCCGTATATTAACTACATAATCATTTCACCTCACTCCTGCCAGTTAAGGAAAAGATGTAGTATTGTATTTCAAACTGCTCTACACCTTTGTATTCAGGGTTTTCATGTCTCTGTCCGCTAGGTACTGAGGGTTCAGGCAGAAGCTTTTGTGTTGTGTTTTTGTGTATGAGTAACGGTGCATGGGGGACAGTGCAGGCTAGACACACACTCAATATTTTCTCCTACATCTTCTATTTCTTCTGTTGGTTGTTGATGACTAAAAGCAGAGAAACAGTGACACTTGAATGCATCACTTCTGTCGGTCTAAATATCAGCAGAAAAAGTCTCCAGCTGTCTGAAAATAGTACCCTGACAGACAGTATCAGAAAGAGAACAAGGGATTCTCATACCTTAAGAGGAAACAGAGTTTTCAGCACACGCCATTTCAGTCCAGACAGACAAACTGATTTAAGAAACAGCAGTGACAAAGGATGACTGTTGTGCGCTGCATTTAGTCCTTGTTTGGGAAAGTTTCAATTAAACACATCACTAGGACACTCCATACAATGATTTCCGTTTGGTATGATAATATTATTTATAAAATAGTCAGAAATAACAGGAAATGCACAGATTTCTGTCAAATAAGGCGATACAGACTCGTAGAATATACTGTTGTACACGGGTCGAACGTTTACTACAGCGCGTATAGTCACCCCCTAAAGGCCCATTCTGAGCCAGGAAAACCCCTGATATAGAACTGCTGTGATAAAGCAGAGTTTGAAGGACATTTTGAAACCAAACTGCTTACCATTTGGACACTTTTAAAAATAAAAGCACCTGAAGATATAGTGGAAAGAAGACTAAAGATATGATTGCTTTCCTCACTTCTATTTCTTTTATTTGTCCACATTTAATGGAGCATGATATTTGAGTTGTCACGACACCAGATTTTTATGTTTCAATACGATTCTAGTAAAAACCAGACAATATTGATACTGGTTTAGATACCACAGCATCAAGAATAGAACTTCTAGGGACCCAATTTTGCCATTTTACTGCGGTATATGAAAAAAAAAATGTTGGGAAAAAAATAAAGAAATTTCCTTTGTTGTAGCGCTCACCTTCACAGTTCATACCCTGGTTGCCGACCTACTGTAAAATCTGGTGTATAAGACGCACTTTTAATACCTATTTTTTCATCTTAAAAGTTGGCTGCGTCTTATACACCGGTGCGACCAATATACCAGTATAAAATACTGAAACACGCACCGTCATTACAGCGGGTGCAGCAGCCACTAACTGCGACCTGATGCGATTAAAAACCCATCTCCAATCATTGTGCATTAACGTTTGAACAGTTAGAAAGGAAGCATTTTGAAAACATGAGTGCATGCTGTGCTGGAAGAGACGGTGACACAGACCAGGCTGGCTGTGCGACTTTTTCCACATCTTTTCTCCCTCACGAGGTCATAACCATGCATTTACAGAATACAGTGGTATATTGTTCCGTAAATAAACCTTGTGGAGTGCTCTTTTGATTGAAAGAGTCCTATATTAAAGTTAAAGAGTGACCAGCGGAGTCGGGCAGCGCGACTCGCAAGCTAGGAGTCTGTGCTTCACAACTTTCCCTGCAGGCTGAGAGCTCAACTACCGTACTGTAGCTAGTAGGAGTGCAAACTCCCGAAAGTGAAAACAGACAGGACTTTAAGAGTGAC